TGTTCCAGGAGTCAGTGGATCTGAAATACATTCAATTTTGCAGGTTTCTCTTCATATCTCTCAACATTTGTAAGGCAGTGTTGGCTACAGGTGTACTCTGTGGAACCCAGATTCTCCATGGAGAGAATGTTCCTTCATGGAATAATTTGGGAGGGGCTGTATACTCACTCCATCCCTTGGGGATTTACAATGCACATTAATCAAAAGATTGCAGGGTGGAATTGCAGGCAAGGGAATGTCCCTATTGGGCTCTGCTTCCAGTTGGCTATGTGCTTAGGGCAAGTCCATACAGTTCTGGAAGGTTTGGCTCTCTTATCACCCATGATGGCATTGCCTCAGTTACCCGAACAGCTGCCTCCCCACCCAGCCTCACGCTGTGGAAATCTGCAGCTGACATTTCTGGTTGCCCACCCAGATACATTTTTCCTGCCTCTTTTCTGATTTCCTGTTTTGTTCCAGTCTCTATCCTCCACCATGGACCGCACATCCCTCAGGGGACATTAAGCTACTTTTGGCTGTAGTAAGCCAAGGGTGACCACATCATTCTTGTTTGCTGTCTGCTAGGACCTATTCTTGGACAGTGCCTAGAGCAACCCTCTGACTATTCTTCTGGACAATGGGTAGACATTATGGCATAACTGTGGCCTTCTGGCTGTCAAAGGACACAAGGTTGGTGACAGCAAAAAGAACAGAAGGAGCTCGAAGCACTGATTAAGGCCACCTTGAAGCCTACTCTTCCTTAAGACTTCCTATTGTGTGAACTAAGAAATTCCTCTACACCAGCTTGATTGGGATTCTGTTACTTAAGAGTCAAAGTCTTCTTTGCACTCAACGAAAGACATCTTCCTTGGCTGGGGACCATCAGAAACCTTATCAGAACCTGCCTCCAGGAACTGCTTGTCTCACATTGCCTAGCCTCTTTTGAAAAATGTTAGCTCTGGCTCTGATTTTGAACCTGTGCTCGGCCTCTGTGGGCTGGCTTACTTGGTCATTTGCTCTGCTTTGCTTCTCACTGCCTCTCTCAGCATGACCTCTAGGGACATCAGCCATTACTCAAAACCTACTTGCCTGGAAGAGGCCCCAACTCCCTTCTCAGAGCTCCCATGTGTCCCAGGACTCTCAGGATGATTCCTGACATGGCACCCTTCCTTGCCAAGCCACAGTATCCTCTAGTCTATTCCCAGCCCCTTCGCTAGGACTGATTTCCACAAACCAAGCAAGTCCTTGTATAGAGGTGAAGGAGATGACACTATCGGCATAAAACCCATAGCCTATACTGAAGCCCTAGATTATTGTTTCTAAAACTGATGCCCCAGGCCTTCCAGTATCAGAATCACTGAGATCAGAATCAGAGGCTTGTTTAAAAAATGCAGGTTCCCAGGCTTGCTACATAGTAACCCTGGCATTGAACCACAGACTATTTTTCACAGTCCAAACCATGGTTATCTCATACTCTGGATCACCCCAAAGTCAACTCAGCTTTCAACCTCAGCATCTGATGAAACAGAGGCCAAGGCAAAGGAGGAGTTGGGAAGGAATAAGAATTATGAAGAGGAAGGGAGAAGGGGAGTGTGAGAGAAAGAAGCTAGACTGTTGCAGATGGACAGCAGAGGAACTATGCCTAAAGGCAGACTCATTTTATGACAGTCATTTGTTTCCCAGTTCCTTTGACACTCACCTTTGTGTGTCTACTAGCCTTCTTCTTCTAGCATGATTTGTACCCAGACAGCCAGTGTGACAATGTAACCCTCTACAAATCATAGAGTCAACAACAAAGAATGAGAGGGAAAAAAATGCCCAAGATCCAAAGGTCAGAGCAAACTTTTGTTAGCTGGAAATCTACATGCCACAAAAATGTTGCCTAGGGGTTGATTCATTTCACAAATGTGAAGTATGTTTTCTGATTCCACGCCACGCCTTCCCTCTCAATTCCATGCCACTCCGTAATTGCTCATTTCATGATTTTTAAGTTCTTTCCCACCTTCTTCCCATTTCTTACGAAATATATTTATCCAGCAATAGACACGATAGAATGCAGATCAAACGGAAGTAATGCCTGTAATTTCTGACTGCTAACTTCACTCAGAATTGAACTTAGGAAGAGTTTAGGCATTGATGGGGGAAAAATAATTATTAGGTAACATTGTTTTTTCCAAAAAAATGATTTATGGATTGGAATTCAAACCTTATTCCACAATGTAGATCTGTTCAAAATGGATCTTCAACAGGCCATCCTTAGTAATACTCCTCATATTCATATCCATAGCCTCTTTCATAAAAGAAAATCTACATGTTCCTCTTCTTTCCTGTCCCACTACTCCAACTGTCATTAGACATTTTGACACCAAACTATTTCTCATTTTCTTGCTCACTAGGGACAAATTTAGTCCGTGTTCTTGGATACCTGGCCATTTCATGTCCCTGTGCAGTGAACTTTAAAAAAAAAAAAATCCGTGAAATGGACTCCAATCATTGCATTTATTTTTGGATTCTAGTTTTTAAGTTACATTGCAGAGACCATCAAGTCAATTTAACATGCACAGAACTTTTGAAACTCAAAGATGAGAGGTTGTACCCTGGGTCTTCTGGTCACCAACATCACCCCCATCTTTTGTTCTTCTGTTTGGTGGCTCCCACAGTAACTGTGTATCAGAATCAGCTGAGGCATTTTAAAAATAAAGACTTGCTATCTCAACCCAGAAATAAAGAATCTGACTTTCTGGGATTGGGGCCCAGGAGCGAGCAAGCTTGCTTGCTTGCTTTCCTTCCTCTTTCTTTTCTTTATTTTCCTTTCCTTTCCATCCTTCTCTCTCTCCCTCACTCATTTTCCCCCTTTCCTTCCTTTCTTTCTTTCTATAGGCTCCCCAGGTGATTCTCATGCAGCCTCCAAGAACCCATTCACTGAAGGCATCTGGGAAGCATTTCTCTGGTTTGAACTTGTACATGCAACAGAAGCACCTGGAGGCCTTAATAGCAGACTGAACCCTCAAAGTTTCTGATCAATGGGTCTAGGATGAAGCTTGTAAATCTGTATTTCTAACAAGTTTCCAGGTGATGCTGATGGCTGGTCTCTCTACCCGGAGGATTATGCCTCTAACCCAGACAGCTTGTGCCTAGATTTATTATTCACTAGCATTTCTATTTTGTGGTCAAAGACTGTGCTTCTGAAGAAGGAATATCCTCGGGTCAGAGATAACGCATCTGGCTGAGCAATATAATCACTTGGAGCTTTTTTATTTTTTTAATTTAATATTCAATTATTGAGGTTAAGCTTGGGCTTCATTTCAGATCTGCTGAATCAACATTTCCAGATTCCCTGGGAGTTTTTGTTTTGTTTTGTTTTGAAGTTACCCAGAAGATTCTGATTTATGACAAGGATTTGAAGCCATTTCCTTAGATGAGCCAAACTTGTGAGTTCATGAATATCTTATAAGAAAAAGTTATTTGTTGTTTATCAGAAACTCAAATGTAATGGGGCATCCCATGTTTTTATTTGCAAATGTGGCACTCCCTGCTCACTCAGCTGTCTTTGCCAGGAGTGTCTTTCCTCTCTGTGCTCCCTCCTTTCCTCACATATCCCTGTTTTAGATGCTTAAGGGAATGGAGGTGAGCAAAACTCATACAAATGTGATATGTGAGGCGAAGAAGAGAAAATTAAGATGTTTCCTCAGGAAAGAAAACACACCACACACACACACACACACACACACACACACACACACACACAAATTCATTAATCTAGACAGCAGAAACAAAATCAGAAAAAAAAAATTTACAGTCTGCTAATGGTTTTTTACCAGACAATTCGTCAATTACACAGTCAAAAGAAACCCTGGGGAACAAAAAGACACCAAAGATGCTATTAAAATGTTCCAAGTGAAGCTGTATATAATTAATTTCAAACAAGCATAAGCTATGAGAACACAAATGCTTCAAGGTGCTGAGTGAAAAATGGGATAAATCTACATCAGCCTCAAAATCAGTGCTTCCAGGTGAGTTTAAGTTTAGGCCAGAGACAGAGAGAGACTGTTGTCTGCTCCCTCCCTGTTTTATGGGAAGCTAAAGAGTCTTCAGAGGAGACGCTCCCAGAGCATCAAGGACAAGAAGAGACAGATAAAGACTATCCCTTCACATCATCACCAACTACCAGCACACGGAACTGAATAAATGAAACATCAATCAAAACAGAGGAGAAAAATGCACTGATGCAGAAGGCACAGAAAACAAAGGGAGATCTAGTAATTGCCCAGGCTGATTAACCACCTTAGCACCAGGGTCTCTGTAAAGAAAGCATTTTTTCTTCTCAATCAGTCTTAACTTCTCATAGGTTAGAGAAGTTAAGACTGATTAAGAGCTAGATGAAAAGAGCTAGATGGTAAGACTTTTTAGATTATCCGAACCACATAGTCTCTGTACATCAACATAATGCAATGGTGCTCTTGTAACATGAAAACAGACACAAGTGACACATTAAAAAAAATGGGTGTGTTGTGTTCTAATAAAATTTTATTAACAAAAAATAGGTGGTGGAATGGATTTGGCTTATGGGCCACAGTTTGCCAACCCATGTCACAGTGAGTCCATGTGGCAAGGATAACATTATTACTGGGTTCTACAGAGCATCCAGTATTCAAATGGTGCATGTTTAGTGAGGGACCATAAAACATTCCATTAACTCATCACTACACAGACAAGGGAAGAGTGTTTAAAGATCATCCCAAAGTGTGACAGTAGGAAGCCAGAATGCAGAAACAGTAGAAGACGTTATGTGAAATTCTAGGACTGTGTTATAAAAGGGAAAGAAAAGAAGGCAATGAGACCAAACATTTCAGCCCATGTTTAAAGAGGTTCTATTGACGGATTTCACATCCAGAGAAAATGAGGTGACTGGACAGGGGAGAGGGCCCTCCTGCCATTCCCTCTGACTGGGACTCTTTAAGCTACCTCTGCAGAGGGTACATCCTGTATGACAATGTTATCCCCCTTAATTAGGGTGTTTGTTTTTTTGACCATCTCAGTTCACCAAGTTTGCATCTAGCTTCCACAGAAGAGTCCTTTCTGAAAAAGAAAGAGAAACTGAGCCACTTTGGCATAGAATTTTATTCTCTAAGCCAGCATATGTCACCCATGGTGCACCTCCAAGTCCATCAAGAAACACACAGCATGCATTTACATGGTAAAACTGAACAGCTTTATTCCCCCCTCCCACTTCACAATTGGCAAATGGATTTCATATTATTTCAAATGGAAGTTTTCTTCCTACAGTTGCCTTTCTCATTGACAACTACTGTTGGTGGGTGCTGCAGCTTGGACCTTGAATGTCCTCTGAGGGCCCAAGTGTTAAAGGCTTGGTCCCCAGCCTGTGGTGCTTTGGGGAGGTGATGGAGCCTTTGGAATGTAGGGCCTTTTGGATTAGGCCATTTTGGGTATGTCTTCAAAAAGGACTTCAGGACCCTCTACCTCTCTGGTTCATGTCCCCACCATGAGACAAGTGGCTTTTTGCTTTGCCACACACTCCCACCATGATGTGCTGCTTCACCACAAGCCCAAGATCAACAGGCCAAATCATTTATGAACATGAAACCTCCAAAACTGTGAACCAAAGTAAACCTTTCCTCTTTATAAGCTGATTATCTCAGGCATTTGTTACAGTAACAGAAAGCTAACCAACAGAGTAGGGAAACTGCTTTCTCATTAGAAGAATTAGATTTCACAGAGAAACTTTGAGCTAATGACAGACACCAGAGGGTCTGACCCAGCAGCCTCTGGGGGTGTCAATGAGGTCAGGAGGGCCTTTCAGCTGAAAGCCTGGTCAGACTGGGACTGGCCAGGCCTCTGTAACTCATCAAAGATACTGGCAGGCTCATCCCTGCAGAATTTGCAGCATACAGCTCCCTTTGACCAGGAAGTCTGAAAGTTATACAGTCCTCTTGATCCCTACCAAATCCCCATCCTCGGTGCTGGGACCTCATGCAGGAGCATTTTAGCAAAGCCTCTGCTTTGGGCTTCCCATGTGCCCTCTTCACCAGGTACAAGAGTGTCTTCGCTCCAAAGTTCAGAATTCAAGCTGTTCTTGCCTTGTGCTTTAGAGGACTAGTCTCTGCCTCTCTGAACAATGGTGGCATCATAGCAATGGAAGCATGAAGACCCAAGCAAGTGCTGGAAGGTAGGGTGTGGGGGCACTGCTGCCAGATGTCCTCTGAGCATGCATTACAGCAAAGACTGCATTGGTGTGGTTGGTGGGCAATTCCACGTTGCAAATCATTCCTTCACAGCAAGACCTACACTCCTGTTACAAATAAACAAGAGATGGAGAATAGTAAATAACCGGAAGGGAGAAGGGGTAAAACATAGAAAAACAAAGGCTTCTTCAGCTCCATCGTAAGAGGACCATTAGCGGGCTATCCAGTCTGTGCATCACACAGGTGTTTGGGTTCCCTTCCTCTGCAAAGGATGAGGAGGGAAGAACCATCTTGAGAATCTTTTCCTCCTAATTATGATTTATCTTCATCAAACCCAATCATCATCAAGGCAGAGAAGTGAAAGGGAAATTGAATAAGACTGCTTGACTGAGTCACCAAATCTTTCTAAAGGTTTTAAGAGAAAACACTGAAGCAAAAGTGAAAGCTAGGAACCTTTTGGATTAGTCATTGGTTTTCTTTCCCAGTGTTACTTGTTAGGGGATAATAGTGACTCACTCTTTTCTATGCTCATATCTGATTCCTATCATTACCGTAGCGATAGTTTACTAATTGTGGCTCCTGAGTGGTTAAAAAACAAAGGGCTGGGTCCCTAAGAGCATGAGATATGTTCAGGGGAAGTAGTCTCCTATGGTAATACCAGTGCATGGTTGGCACATGCCTTGACCTGAGAAACCCAGTCATTCCTTATGGCTTCTGGAACAGTCAGGCAACACAAAGGCACAGCCGATAAGCATTCATGTCACGGTTTTCAACACAGGCTGCACATCAGGTTCACCTAGGGGCAATTTTAAAAAGATCTCAATGCCCATGACCTCTACTCAAGGTTCCGCTTCAATTGGTGAAATGCTCCCTCACCACCCAACTAACAAACCCTATAACAGCCACTCCAGGTAATCTTGGTGTCACCAAAACCAACAACCACTAATGTTGGAATCATTTTCTGTGCTTATAAACTAAATTAAATTCTAAAACCTCATGAAATTAATATATGTTCAAATAATCTTTTCTCAAAAATTTCAGGACTCCAGGCATATAAAAGTATAAAATGCTCATTTAGAATCACAGAATGAGAAAATTAAAAAGATTAATTGATCCACAGTGTGTCTATAGTTCATTGCATTAAACTGAGCCTAATCTTTCAACTCTTTCTTCTCTGAGCAGACTCGGTGGGTGAGACAAGTTTCCCTTGGTACAAGGTATCACTATTATAACTTACTTTTGCTAGCATGAGATATTAGTAAATTTACACACTCGCCTGCACACACATGATCTTACCGTATGTTCAGAATCTTGGCTGTGGTGGCACCCAACAAAATGACATTCACTTTTGGAGGCGCATTTTTTGGTGATGGAGGTACTTCTTCCATGGCTGGTGAAATGATGAACTGTCAAACAATACTGTGTATCTAGGTAAAAGAAAATAAAAAAGCAATCAAAACAAGGTAACTTCATTTTCCACAATGCAAAAGAGACCTTTCAACAACTACTCTAGAAATGACTAATATTAATGGTGAACCTTAAGTTTTTGGCAAGAAATCTAATAGCAGTGAGCTCTAGAGTTTCTATATAGATTTCCTGTTTTGCAATAACATCTGCTTCTAAAACACATATGTATACTGAAAATGAATATAAATAGTCACCCATCCTTTGGTATAAACTAAAGCTGAGAATAAACGTGCAAACTTTTCACCAAACTCAGGGGTCTGCTCATTGAAGATACATGTTTGTGTCTCTAGACCATCCCTCCTTCTTTTGAAACACATGTTCTAAAACTCTAAGATGAAAATTGCAAGTATAAATGCAATAGGCAGAATACCTGTTTCTGCATCATTCAACATTTGTTTCTTATAGGTGATGAGGCAAATGAAAGTTAGACTCCTGGGATAGAGAAGTAGCTCAGTGGTAGAGCACTTGTCTTGCATGCATGAGGTCCTGGGTTCAATCCCCAGCACATGGAGGGCAAAACTGAAAAAAAGATACTGCTTCCAATCCCATGTCAAGATCATCTTCCCTTCTCATCTAATTCTTACTCAAGTCCTTATACTCCCAAAGTGTTTCCTCATCAATGAATTTCCATTTTCTCTTCTCTTTAAATTAACTCTTCCTTTCTGCTTCCCATTTCTGCAGAAAGACTTCTGCATAGCATTATCCTTATAGCTTTAACCACAAACACTTTATTATTTAAAGTTCTTCTAAGAAAGTGGTTTCATTCACTACCCTAAGACTGCGCTAATTCTGTCTCTCTTCTATAACTACCTCAGGCCAAGGAAACTTTCTTAGTCTACTGATCAGGGACCACAACACAACATCACTGAATAGGGGTGAGAGACTGGACTGAAGTTGAGAAGACTAGGTTTATGAAATAGCATATCAAAAGTAAACTACTTGAGGGCTGCGGTTGTGGCTCAGTGGTGGAGTGCTTGCCTAATTTGTGTGAGGCAGTGGGTTCGATCCTCAGCACCACCTAAAAATAAATAAAATAAAGGTCTAAAAAAATACAATGACATTTTTTTTAAGTAAGCTACTTTAGAACCTTTGAGCCCATTTTCTTTTTAGAGAAATAGTTAAGTGCACTGGCATTCTGATAATATTAACAATAGCAACACATACTGGGCATGAACCATCAGCCAGGCACCCTTCTAACTTGTATTTTCTCATTCGGTGCTCTTCACAAGCCCTGAGGTAAGCAGCCTTAACATCCTCATTTTATAGATGAAGAAAATCAGGCACAACTTCTTGTCCAAAGTAACAAAGGTAGAAAAATCACATAAAGGAAAAGCCACATAAGTAGAAAGGTCACCTAGCTGAAAGATCACATACACGGAAAGTCACATAAGCAGAAAATTTACCCTGGTGGAAGGTCACACAGGTGGAGGGTAGGCTTCTAATGCAGCAGTTTCCTAGGATTTGCACTCTTAACATTAATATTAAGCTAGACACTGCTACAAACTAGTGCTGCTCGCAGAGTGCTCTGCAAGTGTGGCTGGCTTCTGGATTCAGAAAGAAAGGGGGAACTAACTGTTTTAGAGAAGGGATTTCAATTCATAGTCCAAACAAGGAGGAATTGAAAACCAGTAGCTGCATGCGTTCATACACAATATCACACATGCGAAAAGCAGCCTCAACAAGTCAGCACTGAAGCCAGGGTAAATAAAACTAGAAATGCCATTCTTGTTGTATCCTGTTACATGGGAACCCTTTACAACACTGACAGACCTCAGAAGTGAAGCCGCAAGGAAAAAAAAGGAAACGTGAGATGACAAAGAGCAATAGCTGCAGGCCAGTTGGTCTCCCCAAATGGTTAACTATCACTCCCATAAATAATGGCAAAGTGAAAAGGAAGAAACCATACTCTCAGTTATAATTCCAGGTGGTTAGTATCTTTAGGACTTGACTGACATAACCATCAAGAAGGAGCTTCTATGCCATGCTGGAATGGAGGATCATTCCATGCTGATCTCTAAGAGCCAGCTTTTCTGGACACAGCAGAACCAACTCTTCCACTTTCCCCATTTCTGAATTGTCTTGGTGGTTTCTGCAGCTTCCTGCTTTTTGTTTGCCCATGTTTCAATGGAGATGGAATTCTAAGACCTAGGAACAGTCACGCGTGTTCCTGGCTTGCATGCTAAAATGGCTTAAGTGAATGAATAATAGGATATGCCCAGACCTAGGAGATAGAGTTTTGGGTACAATTCGAAAAAAATATCACAGTCTGTAAAGAGAAGGCCTGAGAAGCTGGGCTCCAAGGCCCCCATGTACAACTATGCTAACCCTTCTACTTGGTTTTCAAGGAGATGGAAAGCAAATTGTTAAAGTATGATGCCTGCTCTCTGAAAGAAGGTAGGAGACATATCAACCAACCTTAGAGTTTGAAACAATTAAAAAATTTCCCTGGAAATGTAGAAATAAAGCACACAATCACTCTCTCTCTCTCTCTCTCTCTCTCTCTCTCTCTCTCTCTCACACACACACATACACACACACACACTCACAGTCTGTAAAGAGAAGGCCTGAGAGTTAAGGGCACTCATGCCACAGAAATATCAAAGAACCCCAAGAAAAAATGTTCACAATTAATTATTATTGAAAAGGGATAATGAAAAATGTAGTCACAGATACATGACTAATTTACAGCACAAGATGTTCAGACCCCATAGAGGTTTCCATAGTAATTATTGGTTCCACACTATAAATAATAATGGTATAAAAATACCATATATAGAAATTCCCAAAGATCTAAGGTAATAGTAGACCCAAACTAGTAATCTCCAATTCTGGAAAAGTTTGGTTTTCTGTTTGTTTTTCTTAGCTGTTTACATCTGAAAATCTAAAAAGCAGTACACCGTGAAGTCTGAATCATCTGATATTCTTATAGCTCCATGTAGAGTTTTAAAATTCCAATTCTTTTTTTTTATTGGTTATTCAAAACATTACAAAGATTGCAGAATCACATCGGTTACACATCCACATTTTTACATAATGCCATATTAGTAACTGTTGTATTCTGCTACCTTTTCTATCCTCTACTATCCCCCCTCCCTCCCCTCCCATCTTCTCTCTCTACCCCATCTACTGTAATTCATTTCTCTCCTTATTTTTTCCCATCCCCCTCAAAACCTCTTATATGTAATTTTGTATAACAATGAGGGTCTCCTTCCATTTCCATGCAATTTCCCTTTTCTCTCCGTTTCCCTCCCACCTCATGACTCTGTTTAATGTTAATCTTTTCCTCCTGCCCTTCCTCCCTGCTCTGTTCTTAGTTACTCTCATTATATCAAAGAAGACATTTGGCATTTGTTTATTAGGGATTGGCTAGCTTCACTTAGCATAATCTGCTCTAATTCCATCCATTTCCCTGCAAATTCCATGATTTTGTCATTTCTTAGTGCTGCGTAGTACTCCATTGTGTATAAATGCCACATTTTTTTATCCATTCATCTATTGAGGGGCATCTTGGTTTATTTCAAGTTCGTGTGTTTTAAATCATTCAACTTCCTGCCTCCTCTATTCCTGCAAACCTAGTCCAAGTCCCCAATTTCTGCCTGATGACAATAGTCCCTACTTGGTATCTCCTTCTACTCTGGACCCCAACCATCCAACACAGTAGCAATATTTTAAATACAACCAGTATCATCACACCCTAGCTTAAAACTCTACTGTCCACCTATCCTAGTCACAGTGAAGCCCACATTCTATCAGAGAAAGAAGAACCTGGTATGTCCTGTCTGTGTCTCCCTCTCAGGTCCTTTGTCCATTCCCCACTACAACACATGGCCAGTGTCTTTTCTATTCATTGAAGAGGCCAAACCCACTTTTCCCCCTGGAAACCTTTGTATTGCCATTCCCTCTTCCTGACATGTTCTTCCAATAGATCCCTATGTGGCTGGTTTGGTTCAGTCAATCAGGTCTTAGTTCTAATGTACACTCATCCATGCATTCTGTCCACAAATACTACTACTGAGGGCCTAATATGAATCAGGCACTGGATTAGGCCCTGGGATGCATTAGTGAACTAAATAAACTAAAAGAAGATCCAAATGTTTGTTAAATGAATGAACAGAGTTTCCTAAGCATGGATGTGTCTCAAGAGTACAGAAATTTTCCTTTGCTTTAAGTCAGTTAAGTATGGCTTTTCTAAGATATCATCAAGCATTTCTGAAATTGTTAGAATGCCTTAGTCAACACTGTGGTCTCTTCTCCCTGGTAAATACTGTTTATGAAATTCTTCCTCAAGGCAGACACAACTGCAAATTGAGGCTATGCTGCCGGTTTGTGAGTTCTCTCAGGATAGGCCCTTAGAGAAAATCTCTGACTTCTATAGAACATCACCAGCCTGTTGCTGTGCTGATCCTTTACACAGAACGTCTTTGCTCCAGGCAATTCAGGAGAGACCTAAAGGAAGTGACGTCACAAGAATCTTCCAAACTCAGCACACTTACTTTGTGGACACCATTTGTCTTCTGCCCATCGATTGCAGTTATAATTATCCCCTGCATTTTCACAGGTAAAACACTTGAAGCTATTTGGAAATGGTGTTGCTTTAAAAGAAAAAAAAAAATGCAAAGTGAAATGATAAGGTTAAAAAAGACAAAAATTTCAAACATCGAATATGGTACAAAGTCAGCAACTTTTATGTTAGATGAAACAAAACTTATACGATGTCATCTTTACAAATTCTATGTCTAGGGAGTTGGATTTACCCATCAAGCTTTTGGCAATTTAAAAAAAAAATTTAAATACTTCCATGAATTTCCATTATAGAGTAACAAAAATGATTCCACAAGCCACTTTGAAAAGATCCATATCATTCTATTTTGATGTATAATTTGGGATAAGTGGGGGTTGAGGGTATGGGTGAGGGTGGTAGTGGTTTTGGAACTAATAATGTGACCTACATATATCATCCCTGAAAAGAACTAGAGTCCAGATTAACCTCAGTTTGAATTCTGTCCTTTAAACTAATTAGTGTATAATTTTTAACTTCTAAGGCATAATAATATTTATAATTATAAAAAATAAAGATCCCTATGACTTGCAGAGGTATAGTGAGAATTAAATGGAATACTGCAATGAAAATCCCTTGTGGGGTCCCTAGCACATCAAGTCTTGCTAGTTTGCATCCATATGCACTCTATTACAGGTACAGTTATCCTCAAGGAAGTCACCTCATTTGACGTATGTCAATTGTCACAGCATTAGACCTTGACCAGGAAGGTAATATTTAATATAAGGTGATAGTTATTCTTAAGCCCTTACACACAGGCCAAAGCACTGTGGAAAGGAGAAATACTGAGTTGCTGACAATGTGAATTGAGCAAAATTAACATGTTCTTTTGTTATTATATCATTTTGAAAAGTTTGCCTTTTATCTGGTTATTTTTAAATTTTAATTTTTTTAGTTGTTCTACTTAGTTGTAAATAATAGCAGAATGCATTTCAATTCGTCATATATGAATGGAGTGCAACATTTCAATTCTCTGGTTGTGCATGGTGTACCATTCATGCAATCATACATGTACCTAGTGTGATGATGTCCATCTCATTCCACCATTTTTCTATCTTCATAACTCCTCCCCACCCTCCCCTTTGCCCAATCCAAAGTTCCTCCATTCTTCCCATGCATCCCCCCTATACTCATAGATCAGCATCCACTAATAAGAGAAAACATTTGGTCTTTAGTTTTGGGGGATTGGCTTGCTTCGCTTAGCATAATATTCTCCAACTCTATCCATTTACCTGAAAATGCCATAATTTAAATTCTCTTTTAATGCTGAGTAATATTCCATTGTGTATATACACCACAGTTTCTTTATCCATTCACCTATCTATTCATGAATGTCTAGGTTGGGTCCACAGTTTAGCTATTGTGAATTCAGCTGCTATAAACATTGGTGAGGCTATGTCACTATAGTATGTTGATTTTACATCCTTTGGGTATAGACCAAGGAGTGGGATAGCTGGGTCAAATAGCAGTTCATTCCAAGTTTTCTGAAGAATCTCCACACTGCTTTCCAAAGTGGTTGCTGTTTTTGTTTTGTTTTGTTTTTTATGTGGTGCTGAAGATTGAATCCAGTGCCTCACCCATGCTAGGCAAGTGCTCTACCACTGAGCTACAACCCCAGCCCCTTATCTTATTATTTTAGTAGGAAAGAGGGAAAATAAAATTATTTGACATTTTTGCATAGACCAGAGCATAGGGTCTGGGTAAAATTTTTAATTCTCCTGGTTTTGCAGAATAATGTAGGCAAGTAAAGGTAAACCCCAAACCTTCCTAGTAACATAACCAGAAGTTAGGGTGAAAAGTAGAAGCAGTGGGTATTTAGGGTACATGGGAAGGATATGCATTGCTGTATAAAACACAAGCAAAATATCAAAGTTTCAGGAGACATGAAGTTAAATACTGCAGATACATTTCAGTTTGGCCTATGCAAAAAGAATGTTATGCAGATATATAAAAATAATGACAGCCATTTTCACCTGTATGGGCTTAAAAATATTAATAGTCAATGCTAATGAATGAACAATTAGAGTATAAATTTGCACAATCCTTTATATTTAGTAATTCTAACTCTGGTAAAATCTATTCTAAGGTCATCAGCAAATTGAAAAGTACATTTAAAAAGATCTTCAATGGCAATTTCAATGAATTTAAATTGCTTGTATTTTTTAATGACATAAAGTATGGGGAAATGGTTAAATAAACTGCAAATCAGAAATATGAATTTTTAAAAGTAAAAGACATTAGAATATTTTAAATATATTCAAATTATAGCATGAAGAGTGAAAAACTAATGTAAGACTAAATTTGTGTAACATCAGTATGTCTCATATCTACATACACATATATGGAAAAAATACTGAAAGAAAATATTTCAAAATGTAAAAAGGAGAATCTTTGAATTGTAGAATCATGCACAAATTTACTTTCTTCTGTATATTTCCTGTCTTTTTGAGATTTTCTACAATGAACATATTTTTCTCTTTTTCTAGATCTTTTCTCATCAAAAAATTATAACAGTCTTTAAAATTTGGAAACTTGTAAATAATCTAGATTTACAAAAACCATGTGTCATGCATTTTACCTATTAATAAACAGGGATTAACAATGCATGGATGTATAACAAATGATAATTCAAGATACATGTGTAGTACATATGTGTATATGTATATATGTGAAGCATTTATATGTATACCAAGAGAGAAAGAGAACTAGATGACTGAGTGTCCTAAATAATAAAGAAAACAGAGTAAAGAATAGTAATGATATAGATGTCACCTAGGTGTAGTATAAAGATAGTGGTTCTCACAACTGTCTGTTTATCAACAGTATCAGGAGACCTTTTCAAAAAAGAGAAAAGAAAAAATTCCACATCTCACCCCTTTGATTATCAAATCTCTCGAGAAGTGACCTGAGGATATATCATTTCAAAGCCTTCCATCAAGATTCCATGGGGGAACCATAAACATTTACATTTATACAAATAATTTTTTATCTAATAAAGTTTGTATGAGAGAAGTTTTATTTGAAGAGGAAAAAGAAGGGGTGATGGTATATATTCATACAGACACATATACACATGTTTATATAAAATATATTAACATAAATTATCCTATAAGATGATATGCACTGTTAGCCTATTTTAAAACTATTAGTGAAAAGCTGAGTTTTATGTAATTCTTGCTAACTGTGATTATGCATAATGAAAATCCAGGTTATATTCATCTTCAAATATTTCAATTATTCTAATCTTTTTAAAACTGTTAATGACCACTTGAAAGAATAAATATATCATTTATGCAGAAACTTCTTGCAGCCAGTTTCTTCTCCAATGAAGAAATCAATAAATAACACTGAATTTCCTCTGCTAAGCCATGATTAGGGACAATATTCAAAAGAATTTCTTAAACAAGAAAGCTTTTAAGACTTTAATAGGAAGCTAATTCATTTTAAAGAAATGAAGAATATTTTTGTTACCATACCCTTACCCATGGAGTCGTTGAAACCTTTCTGTTTTATTCTAGATATAAATCAAGCATTTCCAGGAAAAAAACAAAAAAGCAAGGTGACAATGGATGGAAGTGGGGCTTCAAAGGACATTCTGATTCCCTCCCCAGTCATGAACTAACACGACAACCACTACTTACGGTCAAGAGGAGGCCTAACATTGTAGAAGTTGATGTTCTTGGCAGATGCCCAGTTTTCTGAGAGGATAAAGATGTGGACAACAGCCACAGCTACAGCGTGACAGAGGAGCAGCATCCTGACCTCATGGACTGAACAGGCCAAACTCATATGTCTATGATGAAAAGACAGATTATTTGAGTTTATTTATATTTTACTCATTAAAAATAAGAGGGTGTTTGCTTCTGTTTGAAAGACTCAATTATTCAATATATTTGAATATAATTGTTTCAATTTGAATTTGAATATAACTTAAACATTTATGCGTTGTATTGGGCTGGTACCTGCAACTAAACATTATTCTTTTGATCAGATGAAAGTTAAGTAATTACTGCCTTCTACTGGTCAGGCCTCTGCACTCACCATCTGAGTTTTAGCAGGATGCCCAGTAACCTTTCAGGTTCAGGAAGACCAAGCAGCCCATTCTGACCAGGTTATACCTATTTCGTCACCTGAGTCTAGCTGGTTGACTTTGTGCTGAAACACCTGATCTCTCAAATTAACTATGGTTCCAGGCATGTTTCAATGAAGTCACAGGACTCCTTTTTGACCAGGAAGATGTGTGGGCAGCAGGAAAAGATACAACTTGGAGTCTAAAGGCTTCGATTCGGGGTTGGCTCTGCTGTTTATTAGCGGCCTGACCTTGGACAAGCTCTTTACATTCTATTAACCTCAATTTCCTCATCTGTAAAGTGGCTTAATAACACCGGAACTGCCCACACATTTGGGTAATTGTGAGCATCAAATACAGGTTCAGATAGGATCACAAAGGATTGTGAAAATAAAAGCCCTCATAATAAGAGTTCTGTGAAAATGTTGAAATATTAGAGCTCAATGACATTGGTTGAAATCCTTTTCTTCTTGTAGAACCAACTATTCTCAGTGGATTTAGAAAAAAATTTCAATGAAAAAAGGTTTAATCTCTGCATATATGTGTATAATTCTTCACATGAACAGGATAATAACACTGGATTCTAAGGATTTTTACTTCCCTCTCTTATGAATCAATTGGTTTTGCACATGAGCAATAATGCATAACCATGAAGATGGAATTGAATATTAGACAAAATGTAAGCACAACACAATGTCATCCCTGGAGATGGCTTTTGCTGTATAGAACTGAGTCATTAAGGATGTACTCAGTATTCAAAAAAGAATAAAAGAAAAAAAGAAAGGAAAAAAATAACCCTGGTGAGTAAATTTCAAAAATAATACAATAGTGTTAAATTTTATACACTGCATTTTAGATCAGAACATAATAAGATCTAGATATATAAAAATGTATGCAATTTTTCTAGTTCATTTTAAAAACCAAGCTTGACCTTTTCACAGTTAACAGATTTCTAAATTCTATTCCTATGTTCTTTCTGAAGAAATAGGCATTTAAGCAACTATACTATCCCAACAGTCAAGTGGTTTTACTGATCCAAATTCTGCTTCACCTCTTTCTCTGAGTTGGTCTGCTTTGTAGTCATCTTGAATCTGTAGCCAAGTAATGGATGCATGCTCCTTCTTTATGCCATGGAGACCTTTGGGGCGGGGAAGTCTGATCTGTCTTTCACAAACCTCAGGATGACTGCACTCCAACAGCAATCCACATGGAGAGATGGCTAAGATCATGGATTTCAGAGTCACGCTGTCTCACACTCCCTGTTCTAGCACTAAGCAGCTATGAAACCTGAGACTAGTAGTGGCTGAAGCTTTCCAAACCTCAGATTCCCCATCCACAGGACCAGCATAAAAATAGTACTTCTCGTTTTGAGGTGTGGACAGTCACAATACATAGGAAGCACTCAGCAAGTGCTGAGCACATGGTTGGAGCTGTACTTACTGAGCACTTTCTATTCAGTAGTAAAGTACTGGCTCAGATACCTGTTTCCCAGCCCGCTATTTGAAGCCTGGTGCAAGTTCTTTAACCTTCCTATGCCACAAACTTTGCTTCTACAAAATGGGAGTGATAACAGTACATACTCCATAGAACTATAGGAATTAAATTATTTGAAGCATATAAAATGTTTGAACTATCTAATTAGCTATATGACTAGAATTTTGCTAATTCTTATATAAGCATTTACTATTATGAACACATCCCCAATTTGGAATCCCAAGTCAAAATCCCTGGTTTGCCTCATGTAACCTTTATGAAATGAAAGCTCCTTCACTCATTCATCAAACGTGTCATTGTTGACAACTGGTATGCAACACACATTGTTGTCACTGAACCCCCTAAAGATTTTTGCTCATGCAAACTGCAAAGAGGGAGAAAACAAGAAACACACATGAAAAAAACCTACTTTCAGTTAGTCATAAATTTCATGAAGGCAGTACAATAAGATGATATGTTAGTAAATAGGAGAGCTGCTTTACATACATGGTGGTCCCACAACAACTCTCCAGTAGGTGGCATCTGAACAGGTACAGTAAACGACGAGAAGGAATCAGCCAAGCCAAGAATCAAATACCTGTCCTGAGTGCTTTGCCCTGTGGGGGTAATATTAAAATCAGCTGGTATGACTGGAATCAGCTGAGAGGGAGGAATAGGCAAAATCAGGGAGTCAGAGAGGCCTGATTACTTACTGCAAGGATTTGGGTTCAGGAAAAATCAGGCAATTGTTTAATTTTAGATTACCTAATTTAGAAACAACACCAAGAAATACTTTGTGTCTGTGGAATAATTGGTCCTAAATCCCTAGCCTTATTTCTAACTCCTGGAATAAAGGAATACAAATGATTGTGAGTATAGAAGAAGATAGAAATCAGATACACCAAAGGCTTCTCTGAGTGAATTTTGAAACAACTGACTGGACAATAAGTCCAAGAATGAAACCATGGGTTTTTTTTGTTTGTTTGTTTGTTTTTGTTTTTGCTTTTTTCCATCACTCAAAACAGCACCACAAGGACAGAGTGTTATTATACTGTGTAATTGAGGAGCTGGTAATTTAGAGGCAGAAGATGTAAGGTTCCTAGCACCCTGCCCCCAACATAGGATCCCCTCAAAAAAACCTCCACATGACATCCTGGCCAAGAATTTTGAAGGCTAGCAAGAAGTAAACCAAAGGAGTATTGCTTCATATAGACAAAATGTGTTTTTGTTTCCACTTTATACTGACGAGTATACAGCCTTATTCTATCAAAATTATCCCAAACTGCAAAGTTCTTACCTGTCAAGTAAGAAAAGTACTAAATAAAAGTGTATCAGAATTCCAAAGCAGGTTTTATAATCTATTACCACACACTGCTTCTCCCCGAGCTCCTCATCTATCTCTATCTATGCTTCAGTGTACAAGTTTGTGGGAACATACTGTTTTATTTTCCACAACCAAAAGACATTAGGATAATGAAAAAGTAAATGACTAAATATAGTATCTGTGGGTTGTTTTCCATTCAGAATCATTTCACAGAGACTCCTAGATAAAAATTGTCTGCTGAGAGTGCTGAGTAGGCTCCCACTGCAGTCTTTGTTGCAGAACAAGGTTACAGGAGAGCTTGTAAGAGAGGGAAGAAAATCTCTAATACAAGTCAAACTAAAGCATTCAGGTTATTTTCTCAGAGGCCATCACACAAAGCAGAGTTACTTCTTCATGAGGGGGGAATGGGTGATCTGTGAACTTCCTCAGGTAATTTGCAAAATGGTGTGTCTAGACACATTTCCCCCTGGGTGGAGTAGCTCAGTGGAATCTGAGACTCACACAATGCCTAAGAACACCTGCTTGCTGTTTCCCAACAGAGCTGCCCCAGGTGAGCTCCCTGTGACTTAGACATTTTCACACTTTTGACATTAAGAAAAGAAGTTCCACAAATGCCTTAGCTATCTGACCCACACCCCTCAAACTCAAAGGCAGATCGAGATATCCTCTGACCCCAGGCAGAGGTCATTACCTTCGCCCATCTTTCCCAGACAGTAGGCCTAGGCAAGACATTTCTGTAAAAGCATATTTGTAGGGATACAGCAGGGATGAGCAATTCCCGGGCATTCTAGTGAATGGCAGGTAGCCAGATTTGGAAATTCAGAAAACCCCTCCTGAGACTCTGGCCCCTTAACTTCCCAGAATAAAAGACTTCATTCATGGTATTTGGTCCAGAAGCATGACAATTTCCCAAGTCTGAGTCCTGACAATCATCTCATCCTCCGTGCGGCATTTTAAACTCCCAAGGACAACATGTAAAGCTGATGGGACCTCAAGAAGCAACGCATCTTTGACATCACAAACTTTTGAGTGGGAAATGAAAATAACGTTATTTTTTCACATTCCCCAGAACCACGTTCAGTGCATGGTAGACACGGAGTGAATACTTTTTGGAAGAGAATCAACATCATTAGCTATGACCTCTGAGGAGTGCCTTTCTTAGCGAATAACACAAAAGTTGTGGGCACTAAGGAATTGGTATGGTGTCCAAAAATGACAAAGAAATGATGGACTCCTACAGAAATTTGAAAAGAAGACGCAAAACCTAGGCAGTAAATACTGGCATTTCTTACGCAATTGCTAAAAATGAGTCAGCATGCACAAAACCAACTCCCACTGCCAGTGAGACGGATAATTTAAGGGAAACAGCTCTGCAAAGTCCAGCATGCCCTATCACCACTCAATCCACACCTGCCTGGAAGCACCACTTATCCCACAATCAGACACTTTAATGACAATCCTTAATAGGCCTGGCTTCCCTTGTAAAAAGAATAGATAGCAAAATGGAAATTCAGAACAAATGCTGAAATTTACTCAGGGAGAATGCAAGAGATGAAAACACTCTTCTCAAACTGGGAAATTCATCAGAAAACTTTAACATCCACAATAAGAGTTGCAGTACTTGCTTCTGGCTGGTAAGCCAGGTTGGCAAATGAAGATATTCTAGTTCCTATTACATTTAGGAAGAGTGTTTGTGGGATTTATGTCAAAACTGGATTCTAATTCCTTCCCTAACAGGGTAACAGAGGGCTTAGTTTCTAATCTCCCCAGGGGACTGAGGGCCAGCTCAGAAAGTTCAGTTTCTACCTTCTCTGATGTGTTCACTCTCCATTTGTGGTACATGGAGGGTTTCATTTTGTCCAAACCTTAAAAGCAGCATGATTATAAGTCATTCATTTATACCAAGTATTTAGCTGAATACTTAATATATAATAAGGAATAAGAAAGACCCAATTCCTGAGCTCTCATGTATTATTTGAAAAAAATATATTTATTTATAATAAAAAGAGACATCACCAAGATTTAATACAATCATCTTTGAGAGGAGGGAAAACACTAAGCTTTAGACTTAGGAAAACCTAGAATAAAATTCTAGTCCTACATTTACTAACTTGGTAACTAAAGAGTTAAGATTTATCACCATTTGCTAAAAAGAAAAAGGAGGCTTAGAATCGCACAGATAACATAAGTTGTTGTGTGGACTGAGTGCAATTATATAAGTAAGGTATCTTTTATGTAGATGGCATTTGAGAAATCTTCAATATCCAATTCCCCTCTTCTCTGTCCCTTCTCCCTTCTTCAGATGTCATTAGCAGAAAAAGAGAGATCAGATCAAGGCATAGCACTGTCCAACTTTACTTTGTATTAGCTAGAACAAATCTGGTAAATAGTAGATTCATTTCTAAAGAAGACTCAGAAATTCTCCCTATTGCAACCAAATGGGAAGTTGAAATCAATGACTGCGAATGTCCCTTCTACTTCTAATAATCTATGATTTTTATGGGAAGGAGATCAAGGAAGAACTCCAGTTACACCATAAACAGTCCTACATGCAATGTAGTATTTCCATAATAATTCAGATTCTGATTGCAGTGCTTTAAAGAATACAAACAACAAAAAAATCTCATCAATCCCAGGATCAAAAACTCATAGATGTGAATATCTCATTTCTAAGCATAAAGCTGAACATTTTGCAATGTCAAAGACATACTTTTTTTCCATTACATGCAACTTGATCAAAGATAATGTCTAAAAGAGCACTGATATTAAAATAATTTCATTATTCAAATCAAGTTGAAATCTAATCATGAATTAATACAGAGTGATAAGTATGTAATATTAGTACAGAAGTGGTCTAATCAATTTTAAGATCATATTTCTAAACATGATATAAATTTTAAGATAAAGCTAAAAGATGCTTTTTCAGAGGCATTGTTGTCAAAGATATGATTTTACATCTTTCTTGGGAAGGCTTTCATGACAATGGAGGGCTAAGATGGTAAGAATTCCACATGGACAAAATTTAGAGACTTAAATATTTAGGAATTAGAAACTGAATTCCCTTTTTAAATAATCAAGATTGGTTTGTCATGTTTTATTTAACTATTGGACAAATGTTAGGAACCTCTATTAGTCAACTTTCTGTCACTATACCTGAGACAATGAACTTAAAAAGAGAGTAGTTTATTTCATAATTTTGAAGGTTTCAGTCCCTGGTCAACCAGCTACATTGTTCTGGGCTTGTGGCAAGGCAGCATATCATGGCTAGGGTACAAGGCAGAGCCAAGCTGCACAGCTCATGGCTGGGAAACAAGGAGGAGGAAGAGCAAGGGGTCAAGACTCCACTATCCCTTCGAGGGCATACCCCCAAAGACCTGAACACAACCCATTAAGCCCGACCCACTAAAGGTTCTACCACCTCCCAATAGCACCAACTTAAGGACCCAGCCTTTAACAAGCTTTTGGGAGATATTTAAGATCCAACGTAGAGCAGAACTAATTTAAAAAAATGTATTGATTAAATTTGAAATTTTCTTCACGCAGGTGAATAATTCTTACCCATTCTGAAAGGCAAGAATGACCTATCAGAGGCTTATGCCAAGTAACTTATGCATTAAGTCTCTTAAGATACTGAGAAAACATATTTTGGATGAGAGAATGGTGACGATTCAAAGCCCTTCCATGAATGGCACTCTGTGCTATGAATTACCCTTTTCTCTGAACTTCCCAGAAGCCAAGAGAGACAAAGTAAATGTATTAATTCTCACTCTGTCAGAAAAGGGAGTTCTTTCTGATACTTAATTCTCAAATTAGTGAATCCTTTGAATCATCATATAGAAGGCACCAAGCGACATGGATCATGCCTGAAATTTGTTTTGAAGAGATCCAGATGCATCCGTCATTTGGCCATTCCAAAAAAAAAAAAAAAAAAAAAAGAAAAAGACATGCCAAGGGCATAATATTTAAAGTTACTTTTATAGAAATACTTATGTTATCAGGTAAGTAAATGAAAGATTTTTTTTCTTTTCTTTGAGATAGATGGGTTTACACTTGAGAACAGTTTAAAATTTTAAACTTGAACAATAATTCTGCTGGAGACCTGGAGGAGACAAGGGCTAGTAATTCAAGCAACTCCTCTGCAGAGCTGCATGGATACGAATTGAGTGGCAACACAGTTTGGGCACAGAACACATTGCTTTTACGTTTCATATCCTTGCTTGCTCTACTGAACTAATTTCTTTTAATAACCAATCAAAGCTCTCAAAATAGAATTCAAGGCTGAAATGTCCAACAGCTGGCTAAGGATCCATTACTCTACATTCATTGAGTGAAGGAGTGTGCGAGGCCAAGGATGCACTCTCTAATTCATGGATTTGAGAACTCAACTGAAGACATTGGCCATTGGGGCCACTCTGTGTTTAAGGTGATGGCTAACATTTTTTGCTTTGTTTCATCTCGGCTGACACAGAAAAATGGCCATAAGAATAAAGTGTTCATACGGAAATGTTTCCCATTTAATCTCTCTGAATATATTCTAATATGATAGAATGTACTAAAGCAAAAACAGGTGATACGTTTGTTTGGAAACATATGTGTGTATGTATATATGTGTACTTGCTCACATATATGTATATATCTATATACATACACAAATATATATATATATACATACACAAATATATATATATATATATATATATATATACACACACACATATATATATCTACACATGTGTACACACTTTATTGTATGAGGTAATTACTTCAATGCTAGTTTAAACCAGATTGCAAAAGCATCCCAGGCCTCTTTGGAAGAGACTGGATTGCCAGTCATCTCAGCTGCTTTTATCACCCACACAGTTATCTTTCAATCGGGAGATCTTTAGGAGCACAGTTGTTACTCTGCATTTGTCCTATCTTCTTTCTTCTGTCCTGGAGTTTTATGTCACTGACCATTATTTATAGAGCCCCCACTAGCTCAGTTTTATTCTTGCTTCTCCATCTAAAAATATATTACACAAGTAGAGAACATGTTTGTAGATATCATTTTGAAACAGGAGGTATTTAAAACCCAACAATAAACTGCATGCTATGGCAAAAGAATATTGTGCTGACTTTTGCATAGTCACAAAACCCAGAACAGATTATTCAAAGAACTCTCGGGAAGCTGACAAGCTTATAAAAGCAGTCCCAAGGAAAAAAATTTCTGCATCCTGCATATATAACAAAGTTACAGTATGTCACTTGCTCTATAAATTGTCACTATTACCACTTGCAGCCGAAGGAAACGTACATATATAAAGATGTATATGTGCATAATTTCATATTCCCAGAGGAAACTGAAAAATTATGTGCATTAAATAGTGTTTTAATTGCAACATGAAAAAAGACATTTAATTGCTCATGATGTGGTTCACAGTCCCACAAGGGTAAAGTCAAGTGAAAGTGCTGCCTGGTGTAATGGGGAAAAATTGGCCTTTGGAGGCACCCAGACGTAGGTACAAATTCTGACTCTGTCACTTCTTGGATCTATTACCATTACCTGATCACTCAATTGCTCTAAGACTCAGTTTCCTTCTTAGTAAAAGAAAGAGAGAGAGAGAGAGAGAGAGAGAGAGAGAGAGAGAGAGAGAGAGAGAGAAATTACATATTTATTCTGTAGAGAGTTATAGGAATTAAAAGAGAATGAATGAAAAGTTTCTACCTGCTGCCTTTTTTGTCAAAATAGCAAATCAATTAGAAAGCTAAATGTGAGATCCATTGTTCCTCTATGATTTACCACACTGGCCAATATCATTAAGGCCTTTCAATATCTGCCAACTTTTAGACTGAAATTCAATATGCATATTTTCAGTTCTCAAATTTTATGATTATTCGAGCATATATGAAAACAGGATGTAAAATTCCTCTGAAGACCAATTTTTAAAAACTACTCTAGAATATATGTGAGAACAATATTTAGGCCTCACTAGAGCATATCCATTTATTGATTTTTTGATAAATCCTCTTCTTTGCCCACACACATTAATAGCATGCAGTAGTTTGTAAAGCATCTGATTTAAGAAGCAAAAGCTCTGAGCTCTCATATGTATCATTATTTCAGTGCTTCAAGATGTGTCACATTTGCCATTCTGCTTGAAGGCCCAGTTAGAATATTTCTCATTCACAAAACCTTTCCGTGTCTACTCCAGGCCCTGGGTGGGTTGATAGCCTGGGAAAAGCTTGGAACTTGTTTTTGGACACAAGACTGTCCTTCTTTGCTTAGTACTGGGCTGAGCAAAGAAAGTTCAAGTCCATTCTTAGAAACAGGCGAAAGGTCTCTCTTTAAGAGATCAGAGACCTTGTAGACATTGCCAATTTAAAAGAAATCAAAACAAAACAACAACAACAAAATTTTCTTGTTTCCTACCACACAATTTCCATTGCCATTTTGATTGTTCTTTAAGTGATCAATCTTTTATCAGTCTTCTATCACTCTGCTAAGTTACTCATGTGGAGACTCCAAGAATACCATTATCAACCACTTGAAATTCTGTCCATGCATTCACAGGTAGTTGGACACACTCTGTGCTGGGCCTTAAACACTCCACCTTCCTGAGCTCTCCAAGTCCAGTCAAAGGGAAATTACTTTGACAGGCTCTTTCCTTTGCATCCCAGGCCCATCCTTCATGCTGGGAAGACGGCTATAAAGCCCATTCACATAGTTCCCTTTTTACTGGCTTCCAGTTTGGTTTGGCCAATAGCAGGTGCTCAGAGATTGCAACATAAGATGATAGTGAGAATGGGTATTTCCACCCCTGATATGGAGCTCCATATCAGGTTGTCAACATGTCCTGTAGCTCCTCTCAGGTGGCACAGAGGCCTCATCCCAGATGCTGGTAACCATTTCCGCCCTTCATCCTTCAGGCACAGGTTATGGCTCTTCTGCTGCTAACTCCAGCATCTGGTACTATCTATTGTTGATTAAATCTAGCCCATGCATTGTAATCAGCATCGGCTACATGCTTGTTTGTTTATATTATCTAGTTCCTGCCAAAACCCCCAACTGGGTCTTAAATCCAGTCTCTAAACATCAGGGAAAGAGCCACCTTGGACCAGGGCATCAGGGCTTATTGTTATAGCAGAGCCATTACAGAAGCAGCTGTAGTGAATAAACAGTAGCCTCTTTACTAGTAAAGTATGAGCTACAGTTACAATCTCTTAGGTGATAGGAGACCCACAACCAAATTGATACAACAAATCAATTAGAGAAGAAGGAAGACTATAGTAAGGAAACCGGGATACTACTGAACATTGTATCTGAAGATAAACTGGTGAAGATCTCATAATCTCATGCAGATACCACATCCTTCCAAAAGTTAAGTTTTCCTCCTACCGGCACTGAAGCGCATCATTAAATAAGCAGAGAGAGATGGGAAAAATTCTTGAACTTCAATAAAAGAGGTAAGAAAAATGAACACAGATTACTATGAACACAGCTCTGAAACGCATGAAGCCCTAATATATTCAGGGCAATACCATCTTATGGCATTATAGTACCTATAAATATATCTGCACAGAAATATAGGTTGATTTGAATTCAGTGAATATTGAAATCTGCTATGAATGTTCTGGTGCTTTGCTCTATGGTTTCCTTCCTGAGATACTGCATGCCAAGAGACAAAACTATATATGTACTTGACAACGGACTTCTCATTTAAATTAAGAAACGTCTCCTAAAATGCTGTGTGGTTATTTTTCTGGTGACCTCTCATTTCTTTTGGGACAATGTTCTCAGGAGCTTTATTAGCTCAGGGAAACCCTTTACTCTAACTTCTAAATTTACTCATACTTACCTTTCTTAATTACGTTTCTTCTCTCCTCTTCTATTCCCTCCTGCTTCCCTCATTCAAGGACACCTCAAAAGGAAAAAAAAAAAGGAAAAAAATTGAGCTTAAAATGCACAGCTTAAAATGTACCAATTTCCAGACCATAAAACTTGTTATTGGCAAAGTGTTCTTTGATAATGCCTAAAATAGCCCGTTTTACCTTGTTCTTAAAACACAGCACACCTTGAAGATACTTTTAAAAACAGTGGCACGTAATAACAGAGACCAGATAAAGGATTCTTCTCTCTTTCTCTCTCTTAAAGTTCCTAAAACAGAAGACTGAAGACACAACCCTACAGGGTTTTCATAGGAGTAGAGACCACTGAAATCAAACCTGAGCCCACAGCCATTGCTGGCAAAGTAACTTGTAGTCTATGAGTCACAATTCTGGCAAGTGTCTTCCACCGTGAGCACTGTCCACTCCTGCAGGGAGCACAGGGCCTGCACTTCAGGGCTAAACCCCCCACCCCATCGCACCCCACAGCTGCCTACTGCAGTTTATACAGGACTGTTACTCGCTAAGTGACAGTTGAAGAAATGCTTGAATGAGGTTGACTTTGTCCTTCTATTCAGATCACAAAGTCCACACCCCTGGCTCTGAAGCAGACCAGTTTCCATTTACACCTTAGTGCCCGGGTTGGGGCAACAGGCAGCTATCTCAACTTGAGGGCTGTGAAGCTTGAATTAGCACATCCACTGTGCCATATGATTCATCTTCAAAGAACTTTCCCATCCGAAACTAATTAACCCTCTTCACATCCCCGTGAGGTAAGTGCATTGTGATCACCTCCAGGATGTAAGGAGGAAATTGGGGATGGGGAGGCTACAGGCTTTTCCAAAGGTGATTAAGGGTGTCCGCAGGGGAATGAAGTCATCTTACAGCAATTCCAGCTTCAGTTTCTCCGCCCACTCTGGCATCCACACCCATTCGCTTTGTGATGACCATCTTGTCATTCCAAGGGCTTTAGGAGAGGTGTAGGCAGAGTCTAGCAGGCAGGAGCATTTCAAAGGAAAAACCATGACTAGCATTTGCCCCTGCTAAACACATTAGATGTCTTTCCCACAATAACTCAGCATCAGAAGTCAGCTTTCCCAGATCTTTTCTAGTAAAGCACTAGAAAGGCGGCTGGGACTCATACCTTCTCCCCTCTTCCTGGAAGTGGGTATGAGGCATACTCTTGAGTCAGAGGCACAAGCTGGTGCACAGGCTCTGGGTCACTACCTGTCCAGACCTTTGCTCAGTGCAAAATGATGGCACAGCTTCCTTGACATACCTGACCAGGCCCTGGAGGCTCTGCAACACTTCAAAATTTCTTAATGATTTCCCATAGTAGGCAAAAGTATCCATCTTCTTTGCTATGGGCCTTCCTTCTTACTTTGCTGAGAGAATTAGGATTGTTATTTCCAAGGAAAGAAGCAAGCTTCAACCACCAAGACCATGTCCTCTCCCCTTTGTTGGTTCCTTCCTTCCTCTGCCCCAGTTGCAGGCTTTTATGTTATTACTGTTTATTGCCACCCTCTGCTTTTATCAGAACCTTCCTTAGGAAACACATTCACTCTCACATTCAACTCCCATTCCTACACTGCCTATTTCTAAATTACCAGGCCGTTCCCTGGACTGAGGAGGCTGAGTTGTAAATTGTGGTTTCCTGCCATTTTTATATAGCATGAGTTCAGTAGATGACTTACTATTTCATTTAGGGAATGACTAGTCTGAACAGACATTAAAATATTCTTAACACTCCAATAATTAAAACAGTGTTGTACTAACATGAGTAGATAGAATAGAGAGCCCAAGAACAGGATAAAGAGTCCAGGAATGGATTCAAATCCATGTAGAATTTTGTTCCATGCTAAAGATATCTTCCCAAGTCTACACCATAAGGATCAATGTCATAAGAAGTTGGGTTGGGACTACTGGGTGATGAGGAAAAAAAAAAAATAAGGTTGGATACATACCTTGTTTTGCGCGCGCACACACACACACACACACACACACACACACACATACACACAGCTATAAAAATCCTAGAAGAGAAAATTTCAATACAAAATGGTATTCAATAATTTTAAGAACTTATTGATATAATCATGATACAGAAAGCATATTCCAAAAAGTCCTTATAAGCTATTGATATATATTGGTGTGCTTATTAAGAAAATAATATGATGTCTAGAATTTGCTTTAAATATTCTCTAAATGAGTAGGGAAAGAGATAAGACTGGCAAAATATTTCTTTTTTAATATTTATTTATTTTTTTTAGTTCTCGGCGGACACAACATCTTTGTTTGTATGTGGTGCTGAGGATCGAACTCAGGCTGCACGCATGCCAGGCGAGCGTGCTACCACTTGAGCCACATCCCCAGCCCCAGGCAAAATATTTCTAATTGTCAAAACTAGATGTTGGGTGCCTGGGTTCCACTAAATTATTATCTTTAATTTTTGTATGCTTAAACTTTTCCATAATTTTTTAAGTACCAGAGGAAAATAAGAGTGAGTTGCTTAGAGTAGGAAAAGGCATTTCCAACTCTGATCCAAAACCCAGGAATATAAAAATTAAAGTTTGATGGATTCAACTGCATTAAACAAACTTCTACGTGACAAAAAAAATACCATGAGCAAAGTCAAGAAACAAATAACAAACTGGGTAATATATTTTCAGCTCATATCACAGACAAAAAAATTGATAATCTTGTTAATATTGAAAGAGCTACTAGAAATCAGTAAACAAACTATGAGTAACCCAATGGAAATTATGGCAAGGAATATTGATAGACATTTCATAGAAAATAAATGAAATGACCCTTAAACATCATGAGAAGGGTTGAGTATCTTTTTGAATAGGAAAAATATAATTTCTGAATGTTGGCCAATCTGAAAGGTGGAAATATTTTCTAATGCTCTTTTTTGAGGAGCCCACAAAAAAAAATTTCATATCTTGCTGATGGGAACACAACCCCTAAGAAACAATTTGTGAACATTATTAAAATTTCACATACATTTACCTTTGACACGCACCCTCAAATTCAACTGGAAATTTTTCTCTACAGGTAGACCTGCACACATGCACAATGACATATTCCCACGATATTCATTACAGCACCCTTTGTAATAACAAATGACTGGAAACAATCCACATTCCCATTAAAAGAAATATACACATATGTGCTCACACATGAATATTCCATATGTCACTTTTTGTGTTAGAGAGGGAATAGAATAAAAAATACTGTATGTACTTACTTGTATATGCATAAAGTACAATCAGTAAGGATATACAGAAAATTAATAAAAGGAATAGCCTAGGTGGGGGGGTAAAATATATATATATATAGTACAAGAAAATAGAAGTGAATATACTTCATTTCATTGGTTCAATTTTTAATCCATGCAAACATATGACTTATTGAAAAATTCAATTAAATATTCAATTAAAATTCAATTCACTATTAGCAAGATTATCAATTTTTGTCTGTGATACGAGCTGAAAATATATTACCCAGTTTGTTATTTGTTTCTTGACTTTGCTCATAGGTTTTTTTTTTTGTTTTTTTTTTTTGTTGTTTTTGTCATGTAGAAGTAGTTTAATGCAGTTAAATCCATCAAACTTTAATTTTATATCCCTGGGTTTTGAATCAGAGTTAGAAATGCCTTTTCCTACTAATAAAACAATTCAAATTGTTTTACAGTTTATGGCTACATATCTACTATATGGTTACAACTGTATACTGGTACATGTCTGGTACCTATACTATACTAACTACACATTAGTATATATACAGTATATAAATAGTAAATGTACTACTAAGTTATAGCTTTAGTTCTTTCTAAAGGCTTGATGGCTTAGAAAATCCAAACATCAGATAATACAAAATATAATTTTTGTTTGGCTTTAAATGCATTATTAGGAGGTGAATATGGGGGTACCTTACAGTTCACCACTATGATTATGTTTTACAAATTCTGTTGGTGAAATTCAAGATCTTGGCTTGGTGAATCCTAAGATCTTCGTAAAAAACCATGCACAGTTGTATGAAATAAGAGCAGATTAAGAGTGCAGATAAGGAAGATCATCACCAGAAAGCATTATCTTCTTTCAGAATGAAAGGTCTACATCCATTCCAGTTTCCTGGGATCTGTTGACTATTAGCAGCATTCTCTCTTGTACTACAGGCCAAGGGATGCTAATTTTCTCATTCCTAAGATCCATTTCTATCTTTCCCCCACTACAAATCCCAGATTTCTTGTTAACAACGATAAAGTTCTTATTAGAAATAGCTCAATATCTCTGGTAACTACATCAGAGGTTCTAAGATCCCATATTTTAGGCTATTGAGGAAGCGAGAGGAGGAGGCCTGAGGTGCCTCACCCTGCAGCCCCTAGCAGGAAGACTTCATGGGGGCAGAAACCCACTCTCAAAGTCAAGAAGGCAATGATTCCACGTATACCTATCTTATAGGTGAAAATTCCTGTTATTCAGCTTACTGAATGTCATGGTTTGAGTACAAGGGTCACCCCCAAAGCTCCTGAGTTAATGCAGGAGGTAAAAATGATTATATTATGAAATGTAACCTATTCAATGGCTTAGTCATTTGATAGATTAATAATTTGAAAGAACTAACTGGGTGGTAACTCTAGGAAGGTGGGTCATGGCGGGAGGAGGTGGGTCCCTGGGAGTGTGTCCTTGGAGCTTATTTTCCTGGCCACCATGAGCTAAGTACCTCTCCTCCTTGGGCTCTTCTGCTATGATGCTCCACCTCACTTGCAGCCCAGAGCAATGGAGTCCAATGGAAGTCCACCAGCACAGACTAAACTGCTGAAATCATGAGCCAAAGAAACTTCCTCTAAGTTGTTCTGTTCAGGTATTTTGGTCCCTGTGAGAAAAAAACCTTACTGACACTGTGAACAAGCTAAATTTTTTTTCCCATACCTGGGCTAATTCTCAGCATTTCAGTTTCCTCACACATAGAATCAGGTATTGAAAAATGAATGTGTAACACTGGAAGAGTCATTTAACCTTCCCGTGCC